GCAACAAATGACCGGGCCCCAGGAGTCGCAGCAGGGTCGGAACGCATCCGCCTCTGCCGCGACGTCTCAAGCTCAGCCAACTGCTGCCACTGCCAAAACCACAGCAGAGGAAACTCCGCGCACGCAGGCCAAGCATAAGCGATCAAACAGCAAGGCCAACCACCAACCGCCGGCAGCACCAACAACGGCCCAACCTCCATTCCCTCTTCACGGGGCGTCTCCCCATGGCCAGCCTGCTTACATCGGCAAGCCGAGCGTGACCCAGGAGACTCTGCATCTGCCTACGACAAAACGCCGGAAGACGAACAACCAGGCGAGTGCTGCGTCGCCTATCACTGCGCAGACGCCCGCGGCATCAACTCCTTCGGCAAAGGCTTCTCCTGAGGTTAAGCGCAGGCAGGCATCGGAAGCAAAGGCTGCCGCTGCCGCCCAGTCTACAGCCGCTGCCGCTCAGCAAGCCGCCAAGTCACTGTTTTACTGCACGGAGAACGACTGCGACATGAAGTCGACTGGATTTGCTACGGAGGAGGCTCGTCGTACCCATATCGAAGAGGAACATATCAAGCCCGCTGCCGACCCGTTCAAGTTTGTCAGCGACGCCCTTACGGACGCACTCGGTCTGGACGCGCTAGGCAATGCGAAAACGAGTGACAATGGTGTGAACACTGGAACGAACGCTACCTCATCGAAACAGGGTCTCACACCAGTCACGCCGATGTCTCGTGTGACGTCGATGAACCGGCAAGCATCTGGTGGAAAGGCTGTGGCTGGTAAAGGCCCCACCGGCAATGGGCCGAGCACCACTCCCAAGCTTTCGGACGGCGGTCTCCAGGGTTCTGCGCCCAGCATCGACACAGACGTGCTGCTTGCGTCTGCGTCATTGAGCGACGCATGGGACTTTGCCAATGTTGATCCACAGGATCTTGCCTCGACGTTCAGCTTCGCTGCAGATACAGCGGCCCAAGGCGCGATTGCCGACTTCAGCGTATATCGCAGCATGATCACGCCTAACGACACGCCCGAGTCGAGGACCGATAGCGGGTGGACTTCGGAGCCGACAAGCGACAACCTGGAGTCGACCAACCTCGACCTGAACATGGACATGTGGATGACGGCCGAGGATGGTACCATCATCCCCTCCATGCTCGACGATATGCAAAAGTTCAATATGGCCGCAATCGATGAGACCGACACGGCCGACCTGGCACAAATGTTCTTGAACGATGGTCCGAGTGGTTTCGGCGATGAGGAGACAGACATGGTGTCGATGTTCAACAAGACGAATGTCGAGCTTGACCCTTCTCTGTACTCATTTGGTGCGTCCTAAGCTATGAAACCTTGTTTTCTGCTTTATGTGCGTCTACCAACATTGTACTTTCTTCATTTTTTTATTTTATTTTTCATTTCATTTGCTTTTATTATTTCTCTCATTGGCGAACTGTCCATGACATGACGACCAACTTGAATTATGAGAGGTCGACAAAAGTTTTACGAAACACTGGAGGGATATGGAAGCGTTGGACCTGGCTTGTTTTTGCTTCTTCTTTATTTGTCTTACTGTGGTTATACTTTGCGTTTCGTTTTATGTGTCTCTTTCTTTATTCCCCGCCCACCACGGTGGCCATTTCGGTCGTTCGTCACGATTCTTATTTTTTTATACTCTTTGCCTGCTTCAGTTCTCGATGCGTGTGTTTTGATGGCCAGCTTCCGATCGCCACCATGGGCTTTCATCACGAATTTCTTTGTGCTATGAGACGATATGTTTCTTCCTTTGCTGTTGAACCGGGCAAATGGGATGCATGGGATCATCATGTTTAATTCTTGTTGATTTGGACTGTGTAAAGCCGTTGTAGATTATAGGGACAAGTGGATGACATATGCACGGATTCGTATGGATAGTTCTTAAAACTCTAAACTAGACAGGAATGAGAAATGTCGGCCGACGATTTACAAACTCTTTCGTCCCTATTGTAGTATCAGCTCATCGGATGTCGTTTCTTACATGCTCCGCGTCGTTATATTCCGTACTACCGTAGATTTGACAAGCATCGTTTGCCTAACCGTGATTTGCGATCGGCAGTAAATGCACGTCTTACGAGGTCCGCATTTGCATATAACATATGTATGTCGTACAGTGCATCTTTCGAGGCTTGTAGAAGAACAGAAGGCAAGTCGCGTCAAACCTTGGCTTCGGTTTCTCTAAAAGGGCTGTGTTTTATATTACACACGATGGATTCTCAGAAGCGGCCGAAGGCCCCCCTAGACTGAAGACTTCTAGTGGCTACAAGCGCGTTCACACCTGTCCCACTCGTCCACTAATAGCCCAGGGGTCCTTTAGGTTCGTGTTGTGATGGACCCTGTCGCGTGTGGTTTCTTTACCCTGCTAAATGATCTGTCGCAGAGGAGGGGCGAATGGGTAGGTGGGACTTGCCGCCACACACGTCTCGCAAGTGGCCCATGCCCACTGTGAAAGACGCGACTGCAGCCAAGCAGGCGTTTCCAGGGGCCCTGTTTCCAGTTGGCATCTGCCCTCAAATTAAATGGGCAAACAGACCCAACCAATGTGCTGGAAGTCGCGACTGCCCGTAACCGCGCTGTAGTAGGGCGCTGTAGACTATCCACAGCGCTCTGAACGTGCTAAAAGAGGGAGGTCGTCAGGCCTTGCGCCACGACGAACTGGGTCAAGAACGTGCAGGGAAGCCCGTAATGTGGAGAAAACAAAACACGCCTTCAGAATCGCGACTGACATGTATACGGAGTATTGGCTTTCATATACAACGGCAAGAGGTGTCGTTCGTTGTTCTTTCCGTCCTTCTTCGTTTTTCTATCTGCCCTCACGCTTTTCTACTTTCCCCAGTCACTCTTTCTAGACGTTACCGTCAAGGGAATACGTTTTGCTTTCCTCTCGTTTCTTGATCGCCGGCACTCCTTTCTTTAATCAGAGCCACTTACAACAGTCTCTCCCTGGTGTTGGAACAACACGTGCATTCGCCCACACGCTCTTGGGTCACCCGCCTTTTCTTCTTACTCGCCTTGTGCTTGTTGCTGCAAGACGCGTTGGTGGCTGGATTGCACTCTTCGAGCCCTGGCCTGATTTCCTCATCTATATACAAACTCCTTATATCTCAGGCTTTGCAATGGCCTCCCCCGTGAAACGACGCGTCCTGGCACCCCTCGACGCAAACGCGAGCGTGTCGGCCTCGCCCATTTCCGTGGCAAGCAAGCCGGTAGCCGTCGAGCACAAGTTCCCACTGTCACCGCCAAGCAGTGCCATAGCTCATAAGCGCACACTGCCGGAGACGTGTCTGGACGACGAGCCGGCCGACTCCACGACGCCCCTGAAGAAGACATGTCTCGCGAGCGGCGCGGAGATGTCGTCAACAATCCTGCTGCGTGACAGCAAGCAGTCGGAGCAGCAGTCTCAGCAACAGCAGAAGCAGCAGATCGACCAGGTTCCTACATCAGCCTCTCCAGCAGTTGCCATGACTGCCTCCGCCTCTCGGCGTTCTCTGTCCCCTACTACATCCTCCGTCTTCGATCTGTCCGCCATGGTCGACACGTCTCAGGCCACCAACATTACCGAGCCGGACATCGACGCTCCCCGGCCTGCCGGCTCGTCCGGACCGCCGACGCGCGAACAATCGCGACAGGTGCGTTACCAAAGATCAATATTGACTTATATAATTGCAGCACAGTCCCTAACATGCCTCCCCCCCAATATAGAGAGCAGAGATTCTCAAACTTCGTCTGAGTTTGGCCCGGTACAAAGTGCGGACGGGCCAGGTTGACGTCCCACTGGAGCAGCTCCGGGTGGTGCCGGCGGCAATACAACTGCAACGCCAACAAGGCCAACTGTCAAGGGAGTGGTCAGCGAGCGAATGGTTGCGTCAGCAGCGAGAGCAAAAGCACGAGGCAGAGCCGGCGAGCTCCTCGCAGCCGAGACATCAGCCGCCGCTGCCACAGCGATTGGCGCTGTGGGGCCCTGCCTCGTCAAGCGTGGTCGGCGCTCCTAGCAGCCGCGGTTGTAACGAGGAAGTGAGCGCCACTCAGACCAGCAGCAGCAGCGAGGAGGAGGAGGAGGAGGATGAAGGCGACGAAGATGTGCAAGATTCCCAGCCCCTTCCACAGCAACCGCGGCATCAGCTGGACACGGTGGACGTCATTGAAGACAGTGACCTATCGGATCAGGATGGTCCGAAGCTGATTCGGGCCAATGACGACGACGAAGACGAGGACGAGTACGGCCATGAGGACGATGATGACCTGCCTCAGATGCCGCAGATCCGTCGTTTGTCGCCCACCAAGAAGTCAACGTTGAGCAGCAACAAGCACAACATTTTGACCACGCCGCGCGGCAACCGGCTCCTGGTGGATGATGTGAACGGGGGCCATTTGGATGGTCTAACAAGCAGTGCCATGCGTGGCAGTGCCGTCAATGGTCTGCTCAGCCTTTCCCGCAGCTGAGGAAGCAGCGATACAGTTCTGGCTTTTATTTCCTAATTGTTTTGTTCTTGACTTTTACCCTCTTACGTTATCTTTCGTTTTGTCTTGGTCCATTTACATTGCGCAATGTATCATATCACGGAACATGGCTGCATCGGGGCGTTCCAGGTTCATAGTTTATATTTATATCGGGTTTTACTCTGCATACTGCTTCCAATGCAGCCGTGGCAATGTTGACGCCTTATCGTCTTTGACAAACGAACTGACTACATGAACAACAATTGTCTCGCATTAGTCCCCCTCATTGTGCTTGGGGTTTCTTATTTGCGATTCAGCTATTCAGCAAGGGGCACCCTCCAAGAATGCTTGCTAAATAAACAGACCAAAAATAAAGTGAAATCAAATAAAACACTCAGTTCCTGCTGGTACTGTCAAATGTAAGGAGCTTTGATTCAAGCAGCAGGAAACAGAACACAGCTATTGGAAAAAGTGGTATGAGCACCACGACTTCAGTAATATAAGAAAAGACACTGTGAAGAGAGACATTGTCTAGGCCGCTAGGACACGCTTTGAACAATTATCGCGTCAGAGCCATTGCCATCGTAGTCAATGTTGGTGCGCAGCGGGAAGACGGGGTCGTTTGTAGAGTTGCGAGAGCGCTGAGACTCCAGCCAGCCTATAAATTCCTCAAGGGCTGTACTGTCGACGACTTCAACGCTGAGGGACCCACTGCCCTTTTTCTCCAGTTGCTCGACGTAAAGCATATGTGCCCAATGCTGTCTTGGCGAGGAGTTTGGCGGCTGCCACTGCCCGAAGGTGCCGATGCTTCGCCAGTGTTCACGGCTCCTTGTCCCCAGTTCTTGTTCTGAACGACCCCCTTTGGGTTGCTGACCCTGGGAGTTTGGATATCAAGTGGCGGTGCTTGGGTGTGGCGTGCTTGTGAAGCCACGGCTCCGGTTTGAGGCCCTGCTATGCCGGTGTGCACAGTCCCGGTGCTGGGCTGTATAGGTTTAGAAATTGCACGCCATGGCGCGGCGGTCTCTGGGTCGGTGTATACATGTCTGTGGACAGCATACATTGTTTTGATCCTTAATTTTCTCATTCTGTAACATATTTCGCGATAGATGTCGTCCGTGGTTGAGCGGCCCGGGCAAGAATTTCGAAGCCTATGATAGTCGGACTCATTGGCTAGTACGGTCTGCTCTGGCTCGGTAACAAGTGCCTCGGGGAGAAAGGGAAACTTGGGGCCGCCATTGCACGCTCGTTTGTTTCGGCAGTGTTCCCCAAGCCTGCAGGAGTGGGCCTCAAAGTAGCCATTCCTGTCGCTTATGTATTTGATGGCTTGCGCCACGAGCATGTCGTTGATGTAGGCGATGTGGTTTTGGAAGACAACGCCGCTCTCTTTGGCAGCATCGATAATCATTTGCGCCTGCTTTTCGAACGTCATGGGAGTACAACAGTAGACTGTGCTCTGTGCAAGTGCCGGCACGACCTCGATAAATGCTTTCTCGGCCTCCAGACTGGCAATCTGAGGACAGCCAGGCTCGAAAGTTATCACATTGTCGCCCAGTGGTACTTGCGTAAAGTACATTAGCATGTAACAATAGATATTCGCGGTGCGTGAAAGACGTGCTTCTCTAAAGACCATGTAAAGTATTCGTCTGGCCCAAGTCAGTTGGTAGTCAGTGAGGATATGTTCTAAGACGAACATCTCTTTTTGGACTTCGTTCAGCCGCCGTAGCCATTCGCCACGTTCAATCTCGCGGTTGGTAAAGTCCAATCTGTGGTTGGGAATAGTAAAGGACAGCAGGTAGAAGAGATTTTTCAGGATGCGTTGGCTAGTTGTTTCCTCGGCTGGTTCCGGATTCGGTGGCATGGTCGAAGATGGGGCGGCAGCCAAACCCGGAGCTGCATTCAGAGCGGCTGTTCTCGGATTGGGTGCCATTTTGGGACTGGCTACGGTCGAGAACAGTGCGGATGCAATAGTTAAAGGTGTCAAAGGGAATGAGTTCAGTAATGGAAGAGAAACAGATGCGATGACAGTCCTGCGAGGACTAAAACGACTTGTGAGGGGAGAGGTTATTATGAAAAAAAAGGCTCTTATGAAAATAAATAAAACACACAAGAGAGTCAAATGCACCTAAACGGGGCTTTATATCAAAGGAAAGAATTTAAGGTTCTAGAAAGTTACTGATAGTAACAGTAAATACTGTCATATTGAGCAGATGCAGCAAATATTCAAGGTTCAAAATTCTTTACCTTTAGACGTTTCTAGTATTTAAAACTTCGAAAGTTTTTTTTTCTAAAAAAAACCTATAGAACTTCTATCGAAGCTTGAATTCAGTTGTACATTAATGTACCCGTACGTTTACTCTCACGTATACTATTTTGTCAAGAAAACTGACACCTAACGATTCCATGTTCGGATGTCGGTTGGTCGCTTGACATGATATGTGAATCGAGGACTGTAAACTTATGCCAAGTTAGCTGAAGTCAAGAGATAGTACACAAGAAAAACATTGTCAATGTTGTGGGACAGATTTAGAGGGACAGATATTTCCAAGAGAACGAGTCAGGTTGAGAATTGACCACAAAACTCTAAAATACGAGGCTGCTGTTGCATGCGAGGCTGCGTGTAAGTCGATGTTGGCGACGCTGATTCGCCAGAAGGCTGAGTTTTGAAGAAAATAAACCACGTGATGAGATTACTCAATTTTGCAAGGAATCACAAAAACACGTGACGGTATAAACAGCGACTGCGAAATGAATGTCGCTGGTTCGGAAATCCAAGCAAACTAACTACAGAACGTGGCCTTACCTTAAAATACAAAGAGAATCTGATGAAAGGCACAATGATGCCCGGTTAGACCCAAGGAGCAAAGAAGTATATTGTATGCTGTACTACGGACGCAAAGCGGCGGTTTGCATTCCAGATGCTTTTTGAATTTAAACTCGCACGTGCCACTATTTTGTGATGACTAAGATGTACACAAAGCGAGACAAGATAATTACTGTCGCCGTTGGTTCGTCCTTCACCGCCTTCAGAGATGGTTCGCAAATGTGGGTCTCCATTAAAACGGGTCTCCGCAAGCGCGTCACGGCCCTGGGGGGCAGTCGCGACCTGGGGGGGTGTGGCGCAAATTGTTCTGGGAGCTATTTTTTCGTACTTCCGTACTTCTCTCACTTGTACCTCATCCGCAACCATCACCATCACCATATCGGCGCCACTGACATCGTTTGTCGCATCTCAGATCCATCGTCAGTCGTCTTTAGTTGGCCTGTTGTATTGCATTTTTAAGATGGCCGCAATGTAAGTTGGACTCGCCAGCTTGTTCTCCTTCCGGTTCCTCTCCTCGTTCGTCGTCTGTTTGATTGGCCCTTTAGCTCGAATTGAGCTCTGACGAGCTTCTTTTTGCGGTGCAACCATGCTGACTCGTGCTTTCTCTCTTTCCTTTTCTGTCCCCCTGCCACAGTGAGAGCTTCGACAACATTTTTCTAGACCTCTCTAAGGAGAGTGGAAAGTGCCGTTTCGCCGAGAACGGTCTTGGCTGGAAGCCGGCTGGCGGCGGCGAGGCCTTTACCCTGGACCAGAGCAACATAGGAGGTGCGCAATGGAGCAGGGCCGCAAAGGGCTACGAGGTGAAGATCCATCAACGGAACTCAGGCATTCTGCAACTGGACGGGTTTCAACAAGAGGTGAGCATCAGTGTATTGTCCAGTCCCCGTGTATGCGAGTCGAGGGTGAGGTGACTAACCAAGAGAAACCTGTTTCTATTTATTTTTATATTTTTTAGGATTACGAGCGCCTGAACAAGATCTTCAAGAACTGGTACAGCCACAACCTCGAAAACAGGGAACACTCCGTCCGGGGCTGGAACTGGGGCAAGGCCGAGTTTAGCAAGGCCGAGCTTGTTTTTAACGTGCAGAACCGACCCTTCTTTGAGATCCCGTACTCGGAGATTGCGAATACGAACCTGGCCGGCCGGAACGAAATCTCGGTCGACTTTTCCGTTAACGAAGATGCAAAGACAAACGGCAACTCCAAGGGTCCGGTCAAAGGCCTTAAGGCGGCCGCTGGCAAGGACCAGCTGATGGAGATGCGCTTTTACATCCCGGGCACGACAACGAAGAAGGAGGCCGATGCTGACGGCGACGTTGCATCGAACGCCAGCGACGCAGAAGAGGAGAAGAACGCGGTGACACTCTTCTACGACACACTTATGGAGAAGGCCGAGATTGGCGAATCTGCCGGTGACACCATTGCTACCTTCCTTGATGTCCTGCATCTCACGCCGAGAGGCCGTTTCGATATTGACATGTACGACGCGTCGCTCCGTCTACGGGGCAAGACGTACGACTACAAGATTCAATACGATGCCATCAAGAAGTTCATGGTCCTCCCCAAGCCTGACGATATGCACGTCATGCTTTGCATGGGCCTCGACCCCCCCCTACGCCAGGGCCAGACCCGGTACCCCTTTGTCGTCATGCAGTTTAAGCGCGACGAAGAGGTAACGTTGGATCTGAACCTGACAGAGGAGGAGCTCGAGTCCAGATACAAGGACAGGCTGCAGGCGCACTACGAACAACCTCTTCACCAGGTTGTCACCTATATATTCAAGGGCCTGGCTAATAAGAAAATTTCGGCCCCTGCAAAGGACTTCCTCACGTATGTTTTTCCATCCCCTTCTCCCGCTCTCTCTTTCTAGTGCACTTTTCACGACCGTCTTTTCTAACATATCACTGCAGTCACCGGCAGCAGTTTGGTATTAAGTGCTCTATCAAGGCCAGCGAGGGTTTTCTGTACTGTCTGGAAAAGGCATTCATGTTTGTGCCTAAGCCTGCGTCGTACATTTCCTACGACCAGACGCAGTCCATTACATTTTCACGCGTTGGTGGCGCCGTCTCGGCTCTCTCGACGTTTGACATCACGGTGCATATGAAGGCCGGAGGTGCTTCGTCGCAGTTCAGCAACATCAACCGGGAGGATCTGAAAGCGCTCGAGGATTTCTTCAAGCTCAAGGGCTTGCGCGTCAAGAATGAGATCGATGAGGAGTCGAACATGATGGCCGCAGCCCTGCGCGACCAGGCCATGGACAGCTCCGATGACGATGCCGGTGGTGCGGCTAGGGCCGACCGCGGCTCAGCCGACGAAGATGAGGAGAGTGTCGACGAGGACTTCCAGGCCGAGTCGGAGAGCGATGTCGCTGAGGAATACGACTCGAACCATGACAGTTCCGGTTCGGGAAGCGACGAGAGCGACGTCGACAACGACGTCGATGATGATGACGATGACGACATGGACGACGAAAACGAGGAGGAGGAGGAAGAGCGCCCGAAGAAGAAGAAGCGAACATGAGCGCAGATGATTGGAGTGGTCCGTGAGGACTCTCATTGTATTACCGCCGCTACTGCCGCAGATCGATGCCGTTACATGTCGTCTATGCGGCCACATCTCACCCTTTGACCTCTTCATTATTGGTTCTTTATTTGCTTTTTGTTTCTTGTACGGCCGCGTTAATTTGTTTCTTTTTGTTAATATTTGCGGCTTGGGCGTTTGGTCAACATTATAATGCTTTTGAAAAAAAGAAAAGTATTGTGATGGCCGGTGTGTGCACTTGTGTCAGCAGGGTTTCTCTCAAGGCGATTCATTCTATATATCAATTAAAAGTGCCCTGAAAAGCAAAGTACTCTCGGTAACGGTCCCATATGTTTCACATTTGACAGTTGGGTCAGCCTTTCTTGTAAGTGGAGCCCTTCTTGACGCAACTCGTTGGTGCGTTGCCATTTGTTGAAGAGCACGTGAGGCCCTTGCAAATGAGATGCAATTGCGCACCTGCCGCCTACGTCAGGCTGTACTAACCAACAACAGATTTCTGCCATTGGGGCGGGCGCTGGACCGCTAGGAACAGCAGTTACCAGGCCACCTGCCTACCCCACCAAACCAGTCAAGCACAAGCAGACCGCCCTCAGGAAGGAGGGGAGCCGAAAAATATTATGTGAAGATTGAGGGCGAAAAAATAAAGGCACGTATTGAAATAATAAATTTCCCAAACAGACGAGGACAGCAAAAAACGACTCGTCACCGCCGCCCACCACCAACACAACCGGCTTGTTGTCCACCAGCCGCCGCAAAGAAACATCCCCACGGTCCAAGCATCGTGTGCTCATGCTCCGTTGCCTGCCTTGCTACGCCGCCTGGATAGCCCATTACCTTCTTATTTTATTTGTTTTGTTTTGCTTTCGTCCCAGGCATCTCCTCCTTTCTACCCCGTCTTCTATATTTCTTTACTTTACACGACAGCCCTACTAAGCAAGCATCGCCAGACCGAGCCTTTCGCAGCCTTCGTCCATTTTCTTCAGCGAAACCCGACAACAACTCATCCCCCCCCGGTGGACCACTCTTCCGCCCCTCTCCAGTCTCCGCAACGACTAACAGCCCTCCGTGCTAGGCAATGCGTTGTCCATAGCACGCCCACTTTCTCTCCTCTTTCTCTCTCTCTGTCTCTCTGTCTCTTCTCTCTCTCTCTCTCTCTCTCTCTCTCTCTCTCTCTCTCTCTGCCTCAGCGTCATCTTGAAATCACCACAAAGTCAGACGACCCTTGGGCATAGACGTAAATCCCGCCACGCCATTTTGCTCGACAATCTTATATCCACTGCCGCCGACTCTCCGACCACACCCATCCTCGGTTCGCTCTACGCCCGACGGCCGCCAGGCCTATTCTCGCCTTGAACGGCACTCCGCTGCTCTCTCTCTCTCTTGTCTCTCTCCTCAGATACCGAAAACACGCCCGGACTTTGCTGCCCACCATGGACAGCCAAGTCAGCCAGCAGGTAGGTGTGATGGCTTTTATGGCTTGATGATGTTGCCTTGTTGTCTTATGCTGAGTGCTGATTCCGTCCCTTCGTCCCACCTCTACAGATTGAGCAAGCCATTGAGATTGCCTGGAACCCAACCTCGGACACCGCGCTCAAGGGCCAGGCCTTCGACTACCTCCACCAATTGCGCTCGGATCCGCAGGCTTGGCAGCTGTGTGCGGCCCTCTTCACCCGCTCACCACGAACATCCGAGGTGGTGCGTCTTGTGTCGTTGGAAATCGTCAACAATGCCGTGCAGAGCCAGGCCCTGGACAGCAACAGCCTCTCGTTCCTAAAGACCACGTTGCTCGAGTACATACAGCGGACATATGGAAGCGGCGACCCCGACGCTCAGGTCGACCCGCCGGCCTTGCAGAACAAGCTCACGCAGACGCTGACGTACCTCTTCGTCTACTCGTATCAAGAGGGCTGGGAGACGTTCATCGACGACTTTTTGGCCTTGACAACCACGCCCAACGGCGGCGGGCAGCCTGACAATGTTGCTGGCGTCTTCTTGTACCTGCGTATGCTGAGCTCGGTCCATGACGAGATTGCCGACGTCATGATGGCGCGCCAATCCGCGGATGTGAAGCGCAACAACAACCTCAAGGACCTCGTCCGCGACCGCGACATGCACAAGATTGCGCGATCATGGCAGGAACTGCTGATGCAGTACAGCAACCAAAACAACCAGGTCCTCGAGATGACGCTGAAGATCATGGGGAAGTGGGTGAGCTGGATTGATATTTCGCTCGTCATCAACCAGGACATGCTCAGCCTCCTGTTCCCTCTCATTGGCCGCTCGAACCCCGGCAGCGGCGAGGACAAGGTGCGCGACGCGGCCATCGACACCGTGACGGACGTCGTCGCCAAGAAGATGAAGCCTAGTGACAAGATTGAGATGATTGGCTTCCTTAACCTACGTGAGGTTGTCTCCCAGCTAGTCGCCAGCCCGCCGCTCAACGACTACCAGAAGACGCCCAAGTACGACACGGACCTGGCCGAAGCTGTCGCGAAGCTGGTGAATACCGTCGTCAGTGACATTGTCCGCGTCCTCGATGACTTGTCTGTCGAGGGGGACGCCCGCGCCCGCGCTGAGCCGTTACTGCACGAGTTCCTTCCGCTGCTCCTCCGCTTCTTCTCCGACGAATACGACGAAGTCTGCTCGACCGTGATCCCTGCCCTGACCGACCTCTTGACATTCCTGCGGAAAGTGCCCAACCTGCCTCCAGCGTACCGTGACATGCTTTCCCCGATCCTCAACGCTGTTGTCGGCAAGATGCGCTACGATGAGACGAGCAGCTGGGGCGGCGAAAACGAGCAGACCGACGAGGCCGAGTTTCAGGAGCTGCGCAAGTGGCTACAGAACCTGCAAAAAAGCGTGGCAGCAGTCGACCAGGACCTCTATATCGATGTGCTTAGCAATCTCATCGCCAACACCTTCCAGTCGCTCGATCAGCAGGGCGCCAACATGGACTGGCGTGACCTCGACCTGGCCCTGCACGAGCTGGACCTGTTTGGTGAGCTGACCCTGCCGAACCAGGGCCTGACTGCCAAGAGCAAGGTCTCTGCTACGGCTTCTGAACGCATGGTGGCGCTGATGCGCAAGATGATGGAGTCGGGCATCGCCGAGTTCCAGCACCCTGCCGTCCTCTTACAGTACATGGAGATCTGCAACCGGTACTGCTCCTTCTTCGAGAGCCACCACGACTATATCCCCCGCGCCCTGGAGAATTTTGTCCGTCTAACGCACCATGACCACCCACGCATCCGCATCCGGTCTTGGTACCTCTTCCATCGCATCGTGAAGCAGCTCCGGTCGCAGGTTGGCAACGTGGCAGAAACGATCATCCAGTCGATCAGCGACCTCCTCCCCATCCGCGCCGAGGTCCCTAACGACGAAGCCGACGATGACATGTCTTCCGACGAAAGCGATCACTCTGCCGATGCCCTTTTCAACGGCCAGCTCTACCTTTACGAGGCCATTGGCTGTGTCTCATCAACAAACGCCACTCCGGCCGACAAGCAGGCTCTCTACGCCCGCTCGGTGATGGACCCCCTGTTTTTAGACATGGAGCGGAACCTGCCGCGTGCCAAGGCCGGCGATACGCAGGCAATCTTGCAAATCCACCACATCATCATGGCTCTCGGCACATTGGCGTACGGTTTCTCTGACTATCAAGTCAGCCCCGGTGCTGGTAGCAGCAGCAGCAACAACAACAAGCCTCCTCCGGACGAGGCCATCTCGAGCGAGTTCTCAAGGGCAGCTGAGGCGATTTTGATTGCGCTTGGTGAGCTCAACTCAAACTCGGAGATCCGCGCCGCCTGTCGCTCAGCATTCTCACGGCTCTTGGGCGTTATGGGCGCCGCCGTCCTGCCTCAATTGCCACAGTGGATCGAGGGCCTTTTATCGCAAACCTCCTCCAAGGATGAGATGGCCTTCTTCCTGCGCCTGCTAGAGCAGGTCGTGTACAACTTCAAAGGGCAGATCTACAACGTTCTCAACATGCTGCTGACTCCCCTCCTGCAGCGTGTGCTGGGAGGCCTCTCCGAGCCCATCTCTGGCACGGACGACGAGATCCAACTCGCTGAGCTACGTCGTGAATACTTGACGTTCCTGCAGATCATCCTGACGAACCAGTTAGAGGGCGTCCTGATCAGCGAGGCCAATCAAGGTTTCTTTGAGACTATGATCTCGTCCGTGACGGCTCTTGCAAGAATTATTGGACACAGCAATCTGATTGGAAGCAGACTGGCCTTTAGTGTTCTGGCACGTATGACTTCCGTTTGGGGTGGTCCCGACGTGGCGGTGATCCGGGCGCCACCCGGCTCGAACAACAACGCGAACAACAACCCCAGCAGCAAGTCCGCCGCGTCGACTACGACCAACTCGGGCAACCAGAACAACAACACAAACACCGGCGAGCAGTCTCCTGCATTGGGCGGTCCGCCTGCACCAAGCATCCCCGGTTTCGATAGCTTCGTGATTGACCGTTTCCATTCCACGTGCTGGGATGTGCTTCGGGACTCGCAGTTCCGTCCAGGCAAGGATGCCCAGTCACGCCAGGTGCTCAACGAGATTGCTGGCTTGGAGCAGACCATCTACATCAAGACGGGTGACGTTTTTATCCAGCACCTGCAGTCCACTCTATTGACACAGCTTGGTGACGGTGCCGAATTTTTGCGAAACTTGACCACATCCACGGACCGGCGGACATTCGCCTTGTACCTGCAAAACCTTCGGAAGAATGACTAGGAGAAGTCCCTTTCTCTTCGGTTCCCAGCTCCGAATGTTTTTTGTTATTTGTTCTCGCCCCTTTTTTCCCTATGTTTTTTCCCTATGTTATCTCACCCGTCATGAGCCTGGTCCGATTTCACGCTTCATAGATCCTAGGCTTTCCCAAACTTCACTATATCCTACGTCTTGCTCTTTTTATACACACCCATAGGCGCAATACCACTTTCACCCTTCTATCGTCTTTGAATATTTTACACATCACAAAAAGTTGATGGTAGTCAACCGATCTTATCTTGATGACTTCATCTTCTCCCTTCTTGTATATTCTTTTTTTTTTGTCTCCCTACATTTCTCAGATTCACTCATGCAGCAAAGCACCGTATATTAAAACAGAAAGAAATCGAAAAAATTCCAAGAAATCCTCTAGGTGAAGGAGGAGTGGGTGAACAGCAATAACGAAACTAATGCATTTGTTGCGATCTCGTCACTGCACGGTTGACGCGGCCACAACTCGTCTTTACTTTTTCATATAGAGTGACCGAGTCACTTCGTTTGTGCATGGCAGATGGCGTTTTTACTTCTACACAGGAATAGGACAAGGGATCATGAATGAGCTCAATAAACATTTGTTATTGTGTCACATTCAATGGGCAATCATTAAGCAGCAGTTACAAGCTATTCTTTGATTAAAAAATGCGATCCAGAACGGATGAAAGAGCGAACACGGTGTGTATGCTATATACAAAAAAACACTAGTGATATCCAAAACTGTTGTAAAACCTATTTACCACCATGCTAGATCCAAAACCCATGAGACAATAATATTTAAACCAATGAAAAAAAGCAACCAAAGTGACATCCTCGGGTATCCTTCACAAAACATTCTTTTACTTCCTCGAGGTTGTCATGAGTGGAGTAAATGGCAGGCCCACGACCCCTACTGGGCAATTTCTCCTGTTGTGCTTTCCATGTCCTTTATTTCCAGAACCAGCCCGAGTTTTTCGTACCGTTGTTGTTGTTGTTGTTGTTGTTGTTGTTGCTCGGCTTCGAATTAGTGCCGATATTCTCGCCTGCCTGGGATTGTTTGCTGCCATTGTCGCTCTCGTCATCATCGTTGTCATACAACTCTTTGGAAGCCGCAGCCTCCTGTGGCGTCTGTGAGCGGATGGTATACCTCGTCTCCCGCGCCACCTCGTTGCCATCAGCGTCGAGACGCTGCACCGTAATCTTGACATGGCGGTTACCAAACGCGTCGACATGCTCCTCGGTCGTCTGGATGGTCTCACCCTGGCGCCCATCGCCGTCTGCAGCCGAGTTGTCTCCTCCTCGGACAACAGATGTCTCTGTCGTGGACGAGGACGAAGAGGAGGAAGACCGTGAGCAACGGCCCTCGGCATCGAACCCGCTCGAGAACGACTTGATCAGCGTCCCAAGCGACTTCTCGGCATTGGCATACGCCGAGCGTACTGCGTTGTAGAGCTCGTCTTCCGCGCTGGGTTCGTTCTTTTCGGCCGCTGATGCGCCATCTGTCTTGGCGTCGTCTGTAGACCCACCTGTCTCCTCGCGAATGATGCGGTTCAGAACACGGAAGACCCGGTCTAGCTCGTCAAACAATCTGCCGCCGTACCCGGCGTCCCGCGTCTCCTGCGTCTGGTTCCATGGGCTGCGCGAGACGGTCTTGTTCACGTCCGCATCGTCATCCCACTGTCCAGAGTTGCTTTCGTGCTCGGCATCGTGCTCGTGCCCGTGCTCGTCCTCATGCTTGTTCTCGTCCTCATTCTCATAGTTCTTGTCGGCGTCCTCCTCCTCCAGCTGCTCTCTCCACAGGTCCCGGTCACGCTCTGCCAGTGCAGCAACCGCGCGCACGACTTCGTCACGTGGCGTGTTTGCCTCACCAGTGGCCGCCTCTGCACTACCACCTGCCACGGATGAGCGCGGGAAGTAGGCGTCGAGCAGACGCTGGCTGTGCATCCTATGGAAGAAAACATACGGCGGCTCGATGGCACTTCCGTAGCGCATCTGGTAGCGAAGGTTGCGGTACGAGCGGTCGGCTAGGTCGAGAAGCGGCCGCCCGCTGCTGGAGCGCAGCAGGTCCTCAAAGGCATCGGCGTAGGTGAAGGCGAACGGGTCGGCACCGAACGGGACGTCCTGGGGGACGGGCGGCGGGAGGAGGTGGAGCTGCTGTTGCTGCTGGAGCTTGAGCGGCGAGTAGGGCGAGTAGTAGATGAACTTGTGCCACTCTAGCAGCTGGGTGGCATCGACGCCATCGAGCGAGTCGTCGTTGTCGGAGGGAAGAGAAGAGTGTGGTGGAAATGCGGAGTGGTAGCTGTCGTTCGTTTGCGGCGGTGCAGGCGATTGAGATGAGTTAGACGACGACGAGGGCTGTGTTCCGCCGGTAGGGCTGGTCTCGGGCCCTTTATCAGATTCTCCGCGGATGTTGAGGTTCTTGGATACCATGTTAGGGATGCCGAGCAAGCCGTGGAGCGTGGTGCCGATGTGCGTGTCGACATGCTGCTTCCACCGGATGAAGGGGTTCTTGGGAGGGTCGTTGTCTTCTCCCATGGTGGCGGTGGGCTATGACGTTGTCTGTAGGAGGAGGGGCAATGCTGGTTATTTGGTCAGGGCATGAGATGTTGTTGAAGATGGCTGTGTTTTGTGGGTTGCGTCTCGCAGCGTTCTTGTTGAAAGATTAACGGTGCTGGGTGTGTTGTCGTCGAGGCCGTCAATCCGGATGAATATCAAAGGACCCGAAAGAGGCGAAAAGAGACTCGCAAATGGGAAGAGGCCTGGGAAACCGCCACGCTCTGCTCATCAGTGGTCTCAGGCAGTCAAAAGCGGGGGAGGCGCCCGGGTCGAACGGAAATTCCAGGGTGTTAACGGGGAGGAAGGCATGGCTCGCAGAGAAAGTGGGTCCACTTCTGCTTTTGGAATCCGACCACTATGTTGTGGCCATGCACACCTTACCAGCAGTGCAAATGGCAGGCGCGACGCGCAAAACCGCTTATTCTGGAAGAAGGAAACAGCAAGCCCTAAAGCGGTCCTAATATGCCCCTAAACGTGCCTGATAAAGCACGATCTTGCGCTAACTACGCGCCGTCGACAGGCGCTCTCAGCACCTACCATTAGCTCCTGCCATGACGAATACTTGTCCGAACGGGGCCGTATCTGACAATGGAATAGGCAACAAACTGCCAATCCACCTCACGGAGAACTCATTTCGACTCTCTTTCTCTGGTCGTGGCTTTCGTCCGAGCTTCCATTCTCCATCTCGCTCTCGATCGTCTCCCAGTGGGGGAGCAACAGTTACGCTCTCTCTCCAACGGTTGGACACTGGCTGGCTGGTTCCGACTGCATCACGGTGACACGCGAAAAGCCTCGTTTTCTGACGTCGGCCGTCCAACTCCGACCAACGAACTAAACTGCACCAACCCGACTGGGGGTGCAAAGGACTCCCACGACCTGCGACATACTCGTTCTGCCCGGTGCACCCATTTTACGCCCGTACAAACCTGTCCAAATGCATACGAGTCGACCCTCGAGCTGTCGATAGTCACCCGCTACGGTGGCGCTCCAACGCTGAGCCTGGCTGTGTTGCCTTGCGCGATTCTGCGCGTTTGAGCCTTCCAGAGACACGACGACAAAATGTACATAATACGAACGGCGCCTCCGCCGCTGCCGTTGCCGTCGCCGCTGTCGCCTGCATTATGGCCAGCGTTCTCTGGCTTCGACGCCTCGAACAACAACGGCACATCTGGCGATGGACCGGGCGGCGAGCTGCCAAGCAACTGGTCGTCGCTGATCGGCATTGTAACGGCTATTGTGGGAAACGTGTTGATCGCTCTCGCTCTCAATGTGCAGCGCTATGCCCACATTCAGTTGCATAAGGAGCAGCAGCGGAACCGAGAACGAGCACGCCAGGCGCTGAGGGATGCGGCAAATGGCAACGGGGGCACGAACAAGAAGAAGCGGCAGGGAGGCAGTTTCGACAGCAGAGCCGGCCATGGAAATGGCAATGGGGGACGATATGGAGCCGTGGAAGGAAGTGGTAGTGGAAACGAAAATCGACACAATGAAAGCGATGGGCACGAGGCGGACGACGAGGGCGACGTGGATAGCGACGGCCACCCTGCACACGAATCCGACCCGTTGACGGCAGACTACCACCGCGACGACTCCGAGAGCCGCAAATCGACCTCGTCGGACTCCGATCCCGACTCGCTGCAGTCGAAGTCGTACCTGCGATCGCCGTACTGGTGGCTGGGCCAAGTGCTGATTACAATTGGCGAAATGGGCAATTTCCTGGCCTACGGCTTTGCTCCCGCCTCGATCGTGTCTCCGTTGGGCGTCGTGGCGTTGATTTCCAACTGCGTGATTGCGCCCATCCTGTTCAAAGAGTCGTTTCGGAAGCGCGACTTTGGCGGCGTTGTGATCGCCATCGCCGGCGCCGTCACAGTCGTCCTGAGCGCCAAGCAGGAAGAGACCAAGCTCAACCCGCACGACGTGTGGGATGCCATCACGACGGCGGCTTTTGAGATTTACGTGGGCGTCACCTGCGGGCTTATTGCGCTGCTGATGTGGGCCAGCCCACGGTATGGCAACCGGTCCATTCTCATTGACCTGGGGCTGGTCGGTCTGTTTGGTGAGTTTTTCTACTGACAGTCTTCAATCTTGTGTTTTCCTCCAGCGTATCTAACACGAATTCCAGGCGGCTATACTGTCTTGGCCACCAAGGGCGTTTCGTCCATGCTTTCCTCGACCCTGCTAGGGGCTTTTCTCACCCCCATGACCTACGTTCTCTTGATCATCTTGCTGGGAACGGCCGTGATGCAGGTCCGCTACGTCAACAAGGCCCTGCAGCGTTTCGACTCGACGCAGGTCATCCCAATTCAGTTTGTTATGTTCACGTTATGTGTCATCATTGGCAGTGCTGTCCTATACCGCGACTTTGAACGCACCACCGTCGAGCAGGCAGCCAAGTTCGTTGGCGGGTGTCTGTTGACGTTTTTCGGCGTCTTCGTCATTACCAGCGGCCGTCCAAGCACGGACGACGATGAAGATGACGACGATGACCTGTCCGTTGCCGACGGACCGGGAGAGTCTATCAACCTCGCGGCGCAGGCAAACAATGGGGAAGACGGTGCACCACAAACGCCAACCGGGCGCTCGACGGTACGGCATGGATCTCGCCGCTCATCGCGCGCTTCCCGTGTCAACTTCGTCGGCACGCTCACCAATCGACCTCTTTCGCTAGCAACAGAGACTGGTGTTCCCTCACAGCGCACACCTCTGGCGACGCCCAGTCTGGCAGCAACCTCTGTTCCGAGAATTTCGGAGCCACACCCACCGCAGGACGCTGACGCGGCAGGTGATTACTTGACATACAAGGACGACCAGGAGAGCGGCGGCGAGGAGCCAACGCAACCTCTCCTAGAAAACCCGTGGCGCAGCGCGTCATTCAGCTCGCCAGTGAGCGGATCGCCGCTGGATGCAGCAGCTCCCTCGACGCCTGTCGGGGCCTTTCGTCCCAGCCTTGGCCCATCACCCGTAAGTGCCGATGCGGTCCTGCACGCGACTGGCACTGGCGACAACGCACCAACACCTTCGTCACCGGCGCCGCCACAGGCCGACCGGCCCGTCACACCGTCGGCTGTGCTGCGGCCGCACCAGACGCCGTCACAATACTTCCACCAAAGCCCCATGATCTCGCCGTCGCCCCTCTTGTCATCGACGATGAGCGCTGTCGTGGCCGACACCATCCTCCAGCACCTCGACGGAGGTAGTCCTCAGGCAGTACGCCGGCCATCCACGCGGCGGGTCCGACCGAGTTTGCGATCGAGCCTGTTTGTACCGCAGGACGAGCTGCTCCTTGACGACGCCGAAAGGCTCTTGCACCCGTCCACCGTATACCAATATCAAAATCAAAATCAAAACCACAACCACAACCACAGCCGCAACCAGAACCATCCGTACCGTTACCACCAACATGGCGGCTCTCTGGAGGCATTCGTTACAGGTCCTAGCATACCTCATGCGTCCCGACCTGCCACATCGACACGTGTGGGGACGTCTGTGGCTGGACCCTCGGGCACAGCCGGGCCATCTAGCGGTGCCGCCGATCGACGCGACGTCCAGACATCGGGAGGTCCATTGGCGTCTTCCAAAGTAGAAGGCACAACGAATTCGCGCGCGCGGGCACGCAGCCTAAGCACGACGCTTGGCGGGCTGTTTTGGCCGAGGAGAAAGAGCACTGCAAATAATGGTGAGGGTCGCACGGCTGGCAGCAACAACAGCACGTCTAGAAGCAATTCTGAAGTTTCACAAGACGACTATACTGCCAGCGATGACCTGCCACCGCCGTCGGCTGCAGTGACAGAGTCCGAGGCCGAGGCACAACCGGACAGGTTCTTTTAGACAAATAGCCACGGTATTGTCCATCCAACGATCGAACCAAAAGAGCCGGACTCCGTCAGAGGCTGAGGTGCGAAGTAGCGAATGACGACAAAACCCAGGGACAAGAACTCCTTGTCAGTATGGATATTTGGGTTTGTTATTCGTTAGAGTGCTGTCTTCTCCTGTTTTTTTACCTCTTGTGTTTGCCTTGTTCTCTCTTCACGTTGTTGTACGCTTTTGTCTTCACAGCCTTGCAGCTCATCCACAGCTGCCATTCTGATTTCGCCGCATGGCAGCTTACTTGTTTATAATACCAAGCAACTTCCAATTTATACAAGAATCCATATTTAATCCAAAAAAAGTAAACAAAACGATATGTTGTGAATCAGGGCCTAAGATCGGTCCGATCTCCGCATATACGACCATATGGCCTTTCCGTTATTTCCAGGCCAAAAGAAAAGACAAGCCGAGACAAAGTCAAAAATAGTGGCAATAAACAAGACGTGATTTTATGCAGAAGGCAACACGACAATCAATGCAAGAGTATACACCCGAGGCCCGCTCAACGGCTCAGTGCGCTGCCTTGACATTGTCTGGTGCACCCTTGAGTGCCCACTGCCGCAGTACATTCTTCTGCAGCTTTCCGGTGCTCGTCTTGGGCAGCTCGGTCACGACCTCCATCTCGCGCGGCACCATAAACCGGCTGATGCCGCTCTGGTGCCTGACCCAGTCCAGGAATGCCTGCTCGTCAATAACCAGAGGCGTACCGGGGCGACCCGGTTCGGCCGTCGGCTTCGTCGTCAGGTACGCCTTGGGCCGCTCACCCCAGTGCGAGTCGGGTACGGCCACGACCGCGGCCTCGAGCACGTCCGGGTGCTGGACCAGAATGCTCTCGAGCGCCACGGACGAGATGTTCTCGCCGCCCGAGATGATAATGTCCTTGGCACGGTCGAGAATCTGCACGCTGCCGTCGGGGTGCATGACCGCCAAGTCGCCCGAGTGCAGCACACCGCCGGCAAACAGCTTTTCGGTGGCGGCCGGGTCCTTGAAGTAGCCCTTGGCACAAATGTTGCCTTGGAAGACAATCTCGCCAATGGTCCGGGCGTCGCGCGGTACGTCGACATACGTGACCTCGCCCCTTTTGTTGGTGGTCGTGACGGGGTTGCTGTCCTCGTCGGTCTTGATGACGCGCACCGGCATGCTGGTCAAGAAGCCGTGCCCCTGGCGGGCCATGCGCTCAAACTTTTGTTGGCCGGGCAGGCTGTTCCACGAGGGGAGGATGTAGCCGCGGGTGATCGGGCCATAGGTCTCGGTCATGCCGTAAACGTGGACCGGATGGAGGTTCAGCTTGGTCTGTCCACAGCGTTAGATGAGCAAGGTTCAATGCATTCAAAATAACATTGTCAATAGCGAAACGGGAGAGGGGGGGAGGGCGATGACCTACCATCTGTTCAAATAGGTGGGCGGTCGGTGGGCTCGCGGCCACAGTGACCTTGACGGGGCGCTCCAGCCGCGTAGCCTCTGTCGCCGCACACAGCAGCGTGTTGACGGTCGGCGCTGCGTTGAAGTGAGTGACGCCCTCCTCGCGCAGCAGCTTCCAGATCAGGGGGTAGTCGATCTTGCGCAGGCACACGTGGGTGCCACGCACGGCGCACACGGACCAGGGGAACGTCCAGCCAACAGCATGGAACATGGGCAGGGTCCACAAGTAGCGGCAACGATCAGGCTTGCTGCCACTGCCGCTGTCGTTGTGATCGTCCTGTGCGTTGAGGCCTGCCTCGGCCACGTTGGCAAGCGCCGCTAGGTACGCGCCGCGGTGCGTATACTCGACGCCCTTGGGCTTCGCCGTGGTCCCCGACGTGAACGGGATTGCAATGGTGTCATCCTCATCCACCGGCTTGTAGCCTGGCTGGGCGGCCACAAACCGGTGCAGGCCGGCCCAGGTGCGGTCCTCAGCGTCCGGGCGGTGCGCTTCAAACTGCAGGCCCTCAAGCACGGCCGTGTCAAAGGCACCTCGCAGCTCGCCTTGGGTTGTATCAACGTCGTCGTCGACCAGAATTGGCACCGTCGGGTGAATGGACGCATAGCATTGGCTGCCCTCAGTGAGCAGCGGCGCACACTGGGCGTCGGCCACAATAATGTCGACATCGGCAAAGTCAAAAATGTAGGCGACGTCGGCCGCGATGAGGCGGTAATTGGCCGGGACCAGCACGGCGTTTGCGGCACCCGATGCAAAGATGGTCTCGAGGAACGCCGGGGTGTTGGGGGCAAGGATGCCGATGCGGCGGTAGCCGTGGTGGGCAAAGTACCAGGCGAGGCCGCGGGCGCGGTCGGCAAACTCGGCATAATTGCGGCGAAGAGTGCGGCCATTGGCGGTGATGTGGACAATGGCTTCGGCATCGGGCTCGATGGCAGCGGCACGCTCGAGGAAAGTCGTCGGCGTGAGGACGTGCTTGAAGACGGGCAACGACGCTGTGGAGGCGGTAGAAGTTGCCGCAGGGTCAGCGGAGCCGTTGGCGCCAACAAGGTGCCTCAGAACCGACCCGAGACGGGACTGGGGACCAGACATTGTGTAGGGCGGACGAAGGGAGAGGCGAGGAGACCAGAAGATGGTTTGATCGAGGCGGAATGTGACGATGTGATGATCAGAAGTACGGCGAGTAGGAGAGGGAAAAAGGACAAGAGGGAACAAGAAATGAGAGACAAAAGACAAAAAGAATAGACTTAAGGAACGCCAAGGAGAAGCCAAGCGAGGACCATCGGCAATAAAACAAGGTGAGGAAATAAAAGAAAGATTGTCGCCGATGCTTTCGGTCTCGCGACTTGCGGCTGCGGAGCCTTTGAGGTCGAAACAGCTCCAACGCCGAGAATGGCTGTACGTGGGTATTCGCTCGGCAATGCGGCGGCTCTGTGTGGGCATGTGGTACGATTCGTAGTGGTAGCTCTGATCCGGGGTCTTTGTGGGGATAGCGTCAATAACTTTCAGCAATCCTACAGGCGTGTGAGATGGATGGTAGCCGCGCCAGTGGAATGGCTGTGTCTCTATCGCTTGTGAGGAGCTGCCTATCAATTATTGGGTTAATTCGTCAACTAAGGGACACACTCTGACCCCAACAGTTGGCTGCCTCTGCCTCCAACTGGACCAGACTGCGCCAGAGCGTTTGTTGAGGATGGGCTCAAGCTTGTGCCCCATATTGCAAGATACAGATAACGCAACTAGCACAACGCACAGGATGGCTGCAAGAGGCGAGCATTCATTGCTTCATTGCCCCCGGCCGAGTTCGTAAGACCGGGACAAAGCAAACAAATAGTCGTTGAAAATAACCAACAAGAAACGGGGAAATATATACCCAAAACAATAGAAAAAGTAGAACATAACCGTGATATCCTTGACCAAATCCAAGAACCGTGTCCCACTAAACAAAATATATGTGTATATCAGGAAACACCCTGCACCTTTACTCCGTCTTGATCAGGCTGTCAAACAGCGGCTTGAGCGAGAAGGCGCTCTTCTTGGGCACGCGCTTCTGGCCGTTGGCGTAGTCGACATAGGTCACGCCAAAGCGCGTCTCGTAGCCCTCGGCCCACTCAAAGTTGTCCATCAGCGACCAGGCCATGTAGCCGCGCACGTCGACGCCGTCCTCGCGCACGGCGTCGGCCAGGGCGCGCACGTAGCCGTCAAAGTAGCGCACGCGGAAGTCGTCGTTGACGACGGCCTCGGGGCTCAGGTCGTTCTCGCCCTTGATGCTCGTGCCGTTTTCGGTCACGTACATCTTGGGGTTGCCGTAGCGGCGGCTCAGCCACACAATCAGGTCGCGGAAGCCGCGCGGGTGCGGACGCAGCCAGAAGGACTGCGTCTCCTCGCCGATGCTGTTGCCGTTCTTGTCCTCGAAGAGCGTCTCCAAGTTGCCCAAGAAGTCGTCCTCGGCGGGCTCCGTCGTCTTGTGGCGGATGTAGTTGGCCGTGTAGTGGTTCATGCCGTAAAAGTCGTTGGACCCTTGCACGATCGCGCGCTCCTCCTCGGTGAACTCGGGCAGGCGGTCGCCCAGCTGCTTGCGCATCGACTCGGGGTAGTGGCCAAAGTAGATGGGGTCGGCGAACCAGGAAATGGCAAACTCAATCTTGCGGTCGCAGGCCTCGACGTCGGCAGGGTCCTCGGGGTCCCACGGGTACGTGGCGTCGCCGTTGAGGGTGATGCCAATCTCACCGCCGTTGCTGGCGGGCTTGAAGTCGGCGCGGTACGCACGAACGGCGCGGCCATGGGCCAGCAGAATGTTGTGGCCGACCTGCCAAGGCTCGCGAGCGCTGTCGCCGACGGCCGACTTGGTGCGGTCCGAAGTATGGCCGGGGGCGAAGAAACCCGTGTTGAAGCCGAGGATGGACGAGCACCAGGGTTCATTGAAGGTGATCCAGTGCTTGACCTTGGGCAGAGCGGCGAAGACGGTGCGGGCGTAGTGCTCAAAGTCGAGGGGGAACTCGGTGCGGTTCAGCAGACCGCCGTAGCGCTGCTCGAGACCCTCGGGCAGGTCCCAGTGGAAGAGTGTGACGAGGGGCGTGATGCCCGCGGCCAGCAGCGCGTCGACGAACTGGACGTAAAAGTCGAGACCCTTCTGGTTGACAGGGTCGTTGCGGCCACCGAGGGGGATCACACGGGACCAGGAGATGGAGAAGCGGTAGGCCTTGGCGCCGACCTTCTGAAGCAGCTCAATGTCCTCGCGCCAGCGGTTGTACGAGTCGCAGGCAACGGCGCCCGAGCTGCCGTCGGCGATCTTGCCGGGGATGGCGCAGAAGGTGTCCCAGATGGACGGCCCGCGGCCGTCCTGGTCAGCACCACCCTCGATCTGGTAGCTACGCGAAGAAGACACACAGGTTAGCAACATATACGCGCAGAAGAGGTAAAAGAACAAAAAATCGAGGAAAGGGTACACACGAGGCGGTGGCAAAGCCCCAGAGGAAGTCCTTGGGAAGAGACATTTCGGTGGAAAGAAGACTGATCAAATATGCGGCGGAGGGGTCAATGAGGTGTCGGTAGGATGCCAATTGGGCAAGAAAGAGAAAGACTGGAAGTGGGGTATAATGAACGGCGAGAGAAGCCAGGCCAGGATGGAACAAAATGAAAAGGAAGCATCAACAAGACGCCAAGGCAGCAGAGGCCGGCCAACCTCGAGCTAGGTGCTGGCGGTCGCCATCTTATATAGACAACGAGGGCAGGGCCAACCAAAAGACAGTGCAACCGTCAATGCAACAAAAAAAACACCAAAAGAGCGGGAAAGCACAGCAATAAACTAAAATGGAAACGGGAGAAACGCAAACTAGGTGCATCCACGCGCAGCGGTAAACGGGAGGGCAGAACACATGATGCTGCTGCTTGGCGGGCGGGCCCCATCCTGTGGGAACGGGACCAAGGGCCCGGCCTGGGCTGTTGGACGGATACATACCGGTTTCATGTATCTTGTGCAAATCGTCTGCAGAGTGCAGTGTCCTCTCTGCTTGGTTCGTATTCTTCCTTGTGTTCTACCGTGCCGGACCGTCGACACCGAACAGCTGCTGGAGATTTCGTTGATTTTGGGGGGACACATTTTGGAGAAGCTAGCATCGCTGACGAGCTAACGCGACACACCCCTGCCACGTTGTTGGCATGGCCCCAAGCCATCGGAGCGCGGCAGCCGGGCTATTTGCACCTTGTTCCGTCACGGTTGCGTCTTGAATGGCCTCCTTTTTCGAAAGGGGATCTTCCACAATCGAATAAAATAGTGGATATGCTCGTGAGGGGAAAGAGCGAGGCTAGAAGAGCGAAGCAGGAAGGAGGGGCTCCGTCTGTGGAGCAATGCGTGTTGTTGTTGCTGTTAACAGAACCCCCACCGCGGGGGGGGGGGCACAGCGTCAGTGTCCTCTGTCGTGCTGGAGAGCCCACGCCTCGCCGACTTCTCACCCACTGATCTAAACGACGCTACTGGCGGAGTCGCGGGCCGCCGCCTGAATCTCGGCCTGGGCAACAACGTTGGGGCCAAACTGCACGCAAAAACGGAAGACGACCCAGCTGCGCAAACCAAGGCTTGGAGCCCTGCCGTCCTCGTAGCGGACGTTTTGTTTTCCCTTTTGGTGATGTTCTTGCCGCACAAAAGTACGCGAATAGACTTCGCGCCCTCAAAGGTGCATTCAGCGGAACAAGTCTCTGCCGGCACGGGTGACCAGCCACAAAAGTCGGCGAGATTTACGTTGCGGTGCAAAATGGGATACTACGGGCACTGGAAGGAGAGTGGCACGCAAAGTATCTTACCACAAAGCATTTCGTGCAATGCGGCTCAAATGGGCGTGTGGTGGGATCCTAGGAGAACCAAGGAGGAAGCTCGTTAGAGCCTCGGAAGCTACGGAGAGTTGCACAAAGTGCCGTTACGCCAAAATAGCACGAGCGAGAAGGAGAGTGCACTCTAAGCGAAAATGCCAAGGCAGGAAATGCAGCAGAGGTAGGGAACGCAGGGAAAACAGGAGCTTATCACGCATGGAGTATCGCCCATATATCAGGCGGCGTGGTGCCGCCCATCCTGGAACGGGCTATATCGTGCTTCCACTAAGACGCTCGTCGCCTCACCAACCGACCCTCACCTCTCCCGCGTCCCGTGGCGGCCGACGGACGTTCTGGCCTGGGCCCGGCGGCCAGTCGGCAGATCACCGGCGCTTGGCCAGGCCAGATCCTGTTTTATGTTTTATGGAGCTCTATCAACTCGAGGCCGGGACACATTGCCGACGGAGAGAGTGCGAGCGCTGGCCATGGACCTCGACATCAGCAGCATCGTAAAAGTGGAACAAATACTGTTGCAAATCGATTCCATGTTGGACAACTCGAAATACTAACGAAAATCTACCGCATCCTTTACCTCAATATATTTCATGCAAAATAACCCTTTCGTCCAGACGCCAGAAAATAGGGCTGCCAACGTGTGTTGCCCGTGTAACTGAGATCGAAAACAACTGCAAAGCATTGCCGGAACCAGATCCAGAACCAAAACCAGAACCAGAACCAGAATCAGAACCATAACAATAACAATAATGCGTCTCTCGGAGACGTACCCAAAATCACCTTCAGATAACCGACGCCTCACCAACGTGCGCCCAGAATGACAGCCAATGTACGATGCAAAAAATGGATTCGACCTCGCCCTCAATCGTTCGTCCACGCCCGAGATTAATCATCGCCTTCACCGAACCTGGCTCGTTTTGCAGGGCTTGCCTTGGATGAGCGCGGTGCCGATTTGCCCTTGCCGCCATCGCCGTCGTCATCATCACCCTCGGTCCACTCCAGCACTTCCCACTCGACCTGCACGGCGCCGTCAGCGCTCTGAGCCGACCCGGCGTCGTGCCGCCGAACGTGTGCTCTGCCCGTGCTCTGCGACTGTCGTTGGAGCTGCTGCTGCTGCTGCTTCTGCTGCCGCAAGAGGTGGCGGCCCAGACGGCTACCCTCAACAAAACTGTCGAACCAGGGAAGGCCAGTCAATGACGGGATGCGATCCAGCGCCGTATCTTCGGGCTTGCTGCGCTTCAGCGATTCCCGCGGAACCTCTTCTTGCATTGCTTCGTTGTCGTCGTCCTTTTCCTCCTCCTCATCCTCCTCATCCTCCTTCTCCTCCCCGTCGTCATCGTCGTCATCGTCGTTATCACTTGTGTCGCCCGCCCGCGCCCACTCGTCGAGCTCGTCCAGGTCTTCCGTGCTCAAGCTGCCCAGCGCCAGTCGAATGTAGTTGGCTTCGGATGCCGGCGTCTCCGACCAAAACGACAGCGGCGTGCCGCAGAATCCACAGAAATGCCGCCGGGTGCCGCTGCTGGTCTGGCCTGGGTGCTCGTACGAGCGATGGATCATGGAGTGGGTCTCGTCGGGGAAGAAGGGGAGCACCGTGCTGTGGTACCATGCGAGCGGCACACGGAGGTACGTTGGCAGGGGCGAAGCAAGTGACAAGCCTGAGGCGCGAAGAAGCAATTAGATATCAAACGAACGACAGGTGCATGCAGAAACAATGGCGACAGACGTAAACCTACGGTGCAGTGGCGCCGGGTCGAAGAGCACCTGCGCGACTTCGGCCGCGTCGGACGGCGGCTGGACAACGTACATGTTGCGGCCGCATTGGCAGCCGCCACGAAGCACGCGATTCGTCGACATTGCTGCGGAGCGTAAGGCAACGGTTGCCGTTCTGAATTAAAGATGTTGGCCGAAGCGAAAGAGGTCAATTGGCGTGAACGACGTCGTCAGCGTATGGATGCAGCTAGATGTGGCGTGTTGCATGGATCGCAAGAGGAAAAGGTCCACCTGCAGTCGAATTGTATTGCAGAAATTGACACCCAGGTGGAGGAACAGGTTGAAATGGTGAAGACAAGAAGGCAATTCTCAGAGAAAAATACACCGGTTAAGGCGAAAAGACTGTCTATGATGCTCAATCGTTGAAAACGAAACGGAAGGCTCAGTATTGTTGTAGATTGCTGGATGAGGAAAAAGATGAGGGGCTTTCGGGAGCTCTTTTCTCTTTTATTCCGCGTTGGAAACGAGTAAGCAGCAGCCACGGGCGTTTCGCTAGTTGCTTGCCTTCTAGGCAAGTTCTGCCTTCTAGGCACGAAGGAGTGGCGGTAGTTGGCTGCTTTCCGTAGAGACTTTCTTTGTATTCCGGGCTTTGCATCTTTTGGCGCTTCGGTGCCTGCGCCCTTCTCAGCAGGTGGTGTTTTGGCACAGCGAGAACCGGAACTGTAGGAGTGCGGGCGGTCTTTCAGCGGGCTCTTCTTAGCGCAAAACTGCGCTGCGTCTCTCGTTGTTCACGATTCAGGTACGTCACTGGTGACCCACTTTCTGGCCCATTATTCATGCTACGCTCCACACGAGCTCGCTCTCAACAGGCAGCACTAGGCTTCTCACGGCGAGGTGTCTGTCCCTGGACCGGGCGTTTTATATTCAACAGGTCTCGACGTTAAGGTCTTTAAGTTCAACATAGATATGGTGTTGTTACAAGCCAAAAAAAATTATGAATATAAATAGACAAGATAAAAGATAGAAGATATACCCTTTAAAATTGATATTGAAAAGAATGAAGTCGAAAATAAAATCGGTTTGGCCCATCTGGCCAAACCTCCAAAGATGATTTTTTCCACCTTGCTATGCCATTCCGGATATGGGCCCCTTTAAAATGTGGTTTCTAAAATTCCGTGTTCCTTGGTATCGAATAAGAAAAGAAATTTGACAAAGAAAAAAAAATTATTTTAAAAAAAAGGAAGATGGAAATGAAAATGGAAATGAACGTGGGAATGAAACAATGGAGGCAGGAAAATAAAAAGAAAATAGGAAAATATGTCAATGAAAGTCGGGATGAGATGTCATCTGAAATTAGGGGAGTTTATTTTCCGGCCGACGCTTGCATGCGCCGCATCGCATCGCGGTGAGCCTCGAGCAGGTCACCCCGCCGCATGCGCTCCTCAAAGGCACGCTCGTTGCGCTCCTTCTCGGCGCGCTCAAGCTCTCGACGCTGCGCCTCGGCCTCTTTCTGGCCCATGAGGAAGTTGCGCTGCAAGTTGATGTTCTGCTGCACCTCTTGTTCACGGCCATATCCCGTCGGCGGCGACGCGAAGCCGTTGTTGCTGTTGAGGTACGGTGACGTCAGGGACTCGCGGTTGCTCTTTGTAACTGCTGCGCCCGAGCGCAGGTCGGCCGCAACCGAGCTGCGAAACGTAGCGAGCTGAGCTTGGCGTGCCGCCGCCGTCGGGAGGTGTGCCTGGTCGCGCTTGGGCTGATGGCTGTCGAATGGTACGCTGCCAGCCGTCGGGGTTGACACGCCGTTGTTGACAATAGCGGGCGTTGACATGGAAACCGGCAGGCCGCCATTGTAGTGGCCAAAGTATCCAGCATTGATGCTGTCGGGTCGCGAGAGGCTCATTAGGCTGCTGTTGCGCATTAGCTCGCGACGCTGGTTCATCGGAAGGTCATCGAGGTCCACATTCGACGCAGGTCCCACAGCCCCGGATCCCGGGTAAAAGTTGTATATGGAACCGCTGCCACCATCGCTGGCACCCGATGACGGCACCACGCCGGCACCGGGAAGCATGGTCATGCTGCCTGTGTTGCCGGCTGTTGTAAGGCTTGCCATGCTAGCCGAGTTGACAATCGAGCCGCCGATGTACATCCCTTGTTGTGACTTGCTCCGAAGTAGCATATCGCGCTGGCCGATTAACGTCTGAGGTGCGTTAAACGAGACAACACCAGGAACGGCTTGCATACTGCCACGACTGGGAAATGGCGAGGAAACCGTCTTCGGCATCGCCTCTTCCGATCCCTCACCAGCGCCGTCGGCTTTGGTGGCCGCGTCATTTTCTTCCGCAATCGGCTCATTTTGAAGGCCCGAAACTCGGTTGGTGAGCTGGCTGGCCGATATGCTGCGGTATCCATTGCCAAGACTGTTAACTCCAGCTGCGGCAGTGCTGGCCGTCGACATGTGGCTGCCTCGTGCACCGGCACCGTCAAGCGCCGCCGAATCCTGGCCGCCGAGGGACTGGTAAGACTTGGACTGCGACAACATTCCGTAAGACGACATGGCCGACGCTGACCGTGGTGCAAGTGGTGCGGGAGCTCCTGTTTCGGCCGTCTGTTGCAGGTGGACCACGTTGAGAGGAGCAGGAGCCTCTCCGTCGTCAACAACAGGCGAGGCCACCGGCGTCTCACCTGTCCCGGAAGCGCGCTTGGTGTTAGTATGAGTAGAAGTTGTAGGCGAGGTCGGCGGCAGTTGAGGTTCACCGAGCTGTAGTGTCTCGAATTCGGGCGTCTCCGCATTGCTGAGGTGCTTGGCCCACTCATTTGTGCGGTATGACATGGCGACGCGCGACAGCGACCGCGGAAGGCGGTCCTTGGTGAGCATGGCAGGCACCGAGTCAACCGAGACCGTTGACTTCGCCGCAGGGACGGTTGGCGACTTGGGCGGAAGGTCAGTTATGTCGTGCGTTTCTGTCGCCTCCGTCGTCTTCGCCTCGCCTGCCGAAGTGGAGGACGTCACTTCCAGGATTTCTGTGGACACGGTTACAGCCGAAATGTGCTTGCTGTCGGCGATCACTTTTCGCGGAGGCTTCAGGCTAGCTGCATCGTCATCGTTGTTGGCAAAACCGTCGGACAGCTCTGGCTTCACCTCGATATCCTTGGACTTTTCGTTCCTTTCGCCGTCTCGGATCGTGCTCCGGTCATCGTCGCCCTCGTCGGAACTCATACCATCCATCGTCACGGCAAGGGAGCTATTGTCATCGTCCTCACGGAAGGCCATCCGACTGGACCGCGGCGACACGAGCTCTTCCTGGCTCTGGCCGCCAAGCTCTGGGCTGTTCTTGTCGAGAACGACGCTATTACGCTTGGATCGTTGCGAGATGCTACGCAGCAAGCCGGCGGAATTTTGTGAGAAACGCTTGGCAAGAGTTGTGGGGGTCCGAGAGGTTCTTCTCGACACGGCTGCGGCCGCCGTCTTTTCGTCTTCGTCGGCAAAAGTGGCCACAGATGACCGGTCGTCACGCGTCTTCTCGTTGATCTCGTCACTTTCGTCCTCGGCACCACCCTCAGGGACTTTGAAAGGAAGGGGTACAATGCCGGGGGAGCTGGACACAACCGCAGCGCCGGCATTTTGAGCAGACATCCGGCGCGAAGAGCCGCGAGATTCCGGCTCCTGAGGAGGAAGGCCACCAGGGTACTCGTCCTGCGCAACGCGGACCATAACCCCACCGTCCTGCGCATCCTGCTCCATGACGACTTCGGCGGCGGCCTTGGGCTGCTGCGAGACCTGCGGCGAGGGCTGCATGTCGGCCATCTCGATCGAACCGGCTTCCTCTTGGGGCTCGCCCTCGCCCTCGCTGTAGGGCTGCCGCGACTGCCGATAGATCGACGTCGTTTGGCTGCGGGCCGTTTGCTTCTCGCTGTCCATGCTGCCAACGCCCGAGTCACCCGAACCATGCTGGTCGTCTGCAGTGGCCGGCGGCGGAGGAACGTACGTGCCGTCGCCATAGGACGCTTCCCACGCCTCGCGGTCGCGCGCGTTGGCCGCCTCGACCTGGCGGCCGACGATCTCCTCTTCCTTTGCCAGCTTTTGCTCGTCCTCAAGACGCTCGGCGTCCCGCTTGGCCCGCCGTTCCTGGACCAGGCGCCACAATTTCAGCTGCGAGACAACACCCGCCAAGAATAGCAAAATGATCGCCGCAAGCTCCACACGTATACCCTTGGTGATGGGGTACGTGTCGGCACCGAGTGGGAAGAGATTGTCATTAAGGCGCCAGATATAGGCCCAGAACTCCTTGAGTCCAGCACGGCTGAAGGTGTCGATGCCCATGACCGTGACTGTGGCACCGCCGAATGCGATACAAGCCATGAGCGCATACTGACGAGTCCAGTGGCTAAAGTAAAATGCATATGCACCGATGGTGAAGGCGACAATGAAAATGATGATGCCACTCAAGCTCTGGAGGAGACCTCCCTGGCGCACGCACAGAAGCCACATACTAAAGCAGAAACCTCCGAGTAGACAGCCGAAACCTTCGGTGATTTCCTTAAACACGATCGCGATACCGCCGAGAATGAGACCCGTGCATACAGCGGCAACCAGGTAGGCCCCCTGAATGGCGTTGCTGATGGGCGGCGACATGACGTAGATGACCAGGACCGTGGTGCCGAGGCTGGCCAAGTAGGCAGTGGAAAAGAACGTGTGTAGCATCTTGTTGCGAATGCCAACCAGAGCGTAAACAACACCAGTCAAAAGCATGAGGACACCGCCCACACCCCAGGCCGGTGTCACAACAGGCTGCAGGGGAAGCTGGCCATCCGGGATGGTAGCTATAAAAAAAGTGGCATTAGCAAATGTTTCGAGAAAAGTACGTAAAATTGGAAGGGGCCATATAAAATGAAAATAAAATCAAAGCCCAGTCAAGAGCTATAACTCACTGTTGAAAAGGGTCGTGTTGAGCGACGACGTCGAATTTGTGAGTGTTGTCGTGGGCAGCATGCTGGAGGTTGTTGGTGTAGACTCGGTGGTTGATTTTGCGGTCTCCTTTGCATCACTCCCGGTTGTTGTAACCGCCGCCTTTGTCGTTGTGTCGGAAGCTGTGCCATCATTGCCGCTTTTTGTTGCCGTGGTCTCGACCGGGCTTGTCGTGGTCTCTGCCGCGGGTTGTGACGTTGTTATCGCAGGTTTGTCTGTTGTCGTTGCCGCATCCGCTCGTGGATGTAAGAGAGGATCGATCAAGCCAGCGGAAGCCACATTTGAGTAGAGAAGAAAGAAGGCAACAGCCTTTAGGTGGGGACTACTGAGCCGCATGGTTGAGAGGGTTGTGTGGCAGGCGAGGATTAAGAAGAATGCGGTCGGTTCGGCAGACAAAGATGAAGCAGCTGCCGCTGCGAACTGTGGTTGAGAATGCTACCTAGATCTATCGTTGGTTTCTCGCGAGATGCTAGGAGGTGGTGAGAGTAGCAATCCCTCGATGAAGTCAGCCGAAATCAAGTCAGTGAAGACGTCAGCCAAAGCGAGTACGAGAGATGCCGGCGAAATGTCGTCGCGGTCGTAGGTATCTGAGTTTGGTTCTCAGAACCGAAGTTGAAGTTTGTCCGGATAAGGAGGAGAAATCAAAATCAAAAAATTCAAAGGAGAGAGAAAAAAAAAAGGAAAAAGAAACGGCTATTAAGCAACATTTAGAAAGGATGACGGGCGGGGGGGTGTATGGGTAATAACTGGCACTACAAGAAAAAGAAAATAACATAATAAATAAATTAACAAGAGGGAAATCCAAGACTGTACAAAAGACTAGGCGGTAAAGAACTGGACCCAACTCTCTTCCTGTGCTAGCAAGGCCTTCCCACGGGGCTGGATCGAGTAGTCGTAGGGACAGGGGAACGGCTAGAGTGAGTGGAGGAGCGCCGCCAACACGACCTATGTACATATATAAAGAGCAAGTAAAAATGGCAACGAGATTGTAATAAACCAAATGTGAAGACCGGGGAGGGGAGGGGGGGTTGCCACCGCAAGGGCCATGGTGGAATTAGATGTGCGAGTTGCAAGAAGGCTGGGTGGGTAACCGGGGGTGTTGGAGAGGAGATAATAGCAAGAAAACGAAAAAGAAACAAGAATACGACAGATTCACGAATAGCATAAACCTGAATAGGAGAAAAAAAGGAGCGGCAGGCTCAACGCGAGATGTGCAGATCAAACTACACGAGAACACCATTCCCAACACAAAGATAGTGTTCTGGCAAGCGGCGGGATATCAATGTGTAGGAACCAGCAGGCAGAGAAAACGACGAGAATCCTAATGTTACTAATACTGAAAGTCAAGGGAAGGTATGAGTAAGGCCTGAGGGCCTGTTGACAATGGACGTAAAAATCCCGTGCCATAACGAACGTGGAGGGTGTGGTATTTCGGACGGCAACCGACATTAATGTGCATGTGGCAGAGAAAACAAGCAAACCAAGGCGGTTTGGACAATTCGAGCCACTCCTCGTTCCACAGGGATCGGGATCTATGGTCAAGAAATATGGCAATCCTTCAGGTGAGAAACAGGGCCACCACGCGTGAAAAGAAGAGGGGCTCGAGGGGGCGTGTAAATGGAGTGCGGCCGTTGCTGTGAGAGGGAAGATTGGCATCATCATGTGGGCGTGTGCCGTAGTGCTTGAAAGCTGATACGCGGTTTGAGCCCGCCCTTGTTTTGGTTTATTGTCTGTGACAAGACCACACAAAAAAGAGGAAAAGTCATTCAAAATGCCCAGTCCGGGCGTCCAACAGGCCACACCAGGTCCATGGGTGAGAAAGATGACGGACAAAAAGAGCATGAAGAAGTCGAGGGACGAGAGCGGTCCATTTGTTTGGAAGACGCATTGATTACTGAGAACTCAGCAGAAAAAACTTTGAAGCTGGCAGTGAACCACTTTGGACTAAAAGTGAAAAGAAAGAAACCAGGACACAAACTTGCAGGCCGGGAGATGAGCAAGGATAAAATCGACAGGGGTTCGACGACAAGGGTTCGACGTTGGCTTGCAAGGCCCCGATCTGAGGTGTATGGTTAATGGTAAGGGGGTGTGTTTACAGCAGGGGCCGGGCCACTTCAGGTGCTGTTTGCGGCTCGGGGACGATGCGCACTGCATTGTGGGTTCGTCGAAGCTGACGGCAGTCGGAGAAGCAACCTTGCTTGGAATCGAGCGAGATAGGTAAAGAGCGACGCTCCTCTGTACGCCATAATGCTGTTTTTTCTATGTTGCTCGGAGAACACACCGCCGAACAGCTGTTGTCAGTGGTATTGGGAGCGCCCTGCATCTAATTGACGTGATGCGGGACGGTGGAACATGCACGATCAGAATAGACGAAAGAAGTGCAGATGTGTCAAAGACAAAAGCAAGGGGTGGCGCGCCGCGGAGCAGACGGCCAAGGAAGCAAAGACGTCGACGACAGGAGCAAAAGAAAAGAAGCGGCTAAAAGGCACGGCGGGGTGGAGTGGAGCGTCGGACACAAAGTGTGTTGCGTGGACTTGTGGACGTGTGGGCGAGGCAGAGACAGGTGAGCGAGAAACAAAGGGAGGGAGAGACACTGGAGATGCTGAGAGACAAATGCAATGTGCAGATGCGTACAGAGCAAGAGCAAGGCCACGGAAAGTGCGTGTAGGGTGTCCAGTTTTGCGAATAGAGGAGGAGCTACGTTGCTGAGGCAAAAGCAGTGCGGCGACGTGCTATTCCCTAAACTGCAGGCGCAGGTCTCTCGCTCTTCCCTCGCGCAATACAAGGCAAGCATGCATGGCGGTAGTTTAGACGATGTCAAGAGTGGGAAGCAACGAAGCAACGTCGGCAACGTAATTGAGGCAGTCGCAGCGTCCTAAACATGACAAAAAAAACATTACTCTGCACCTTCCCGTGCTGGCATTTTTCGTCATTCGCGCTGTTGGCACCTTCCTCTTTAATTTGGGTTGTCTTCCACGTCGGTTAGTCAGTCGTTTCCTTCATGTGACTTCGTCAAATTGATCGTCAATTTAGTTTCATCGGTGTCTTTTGCCTTCTCGCCCGTATCTGAGTATGGCGCTGTGGAACGGCGTGTAAGACTCCACACATATTTCCCGACGGTGGACTCGATTCAACATACGAAATGTTTCCTGCTTGTACCGTTATGTAACCACACGTAGCCACGTCTGCAAGGCCCATGAGGAGCACGCGCCCATACGGGGGAAATAAAAGCACAGATCAGCATATGTCGTATTCCGTACAAAGCATATTTGTGCAACAGAACTGGTGGAGGGGAACAATGGGACTCGGGATCGCATGCCTTCGATGAGGACAGAACCGGTACACTGTGGGGCATGCGTTCGTGGAATGAACGCACTACAGAAGTATTACCGCGCTCCTTTTTCTCGACTTTCGATAACGAAGCGACGGCCACTCGCAATATATTGTACGGGGACGCATTTCGTACCTAGAAGCAAAACCGAGCCGTGCACTCGTGCAATACGAGCAGGAAACATTCGCACCACGATTCTGATGTTCAAATCTTTCTCTGTTTTCCCAAATGACCCCCATTCGGCTGCTAAATGCGCGCGCACCTGGGAAAGGCGCTCGCGCGTTCCTGGACGAGACCTGGGTAGACCCGCTTTTAACGCAGGTACGTACCCGTGTCTCGTGGAAAAGTGATCTTGGTTTTTGGGGTGGGATGGTTTGAGGGCACGGAGCACTCCGTGCATTACGTTGCAGCGATGTGACATTGACAGTGAGATAAAGTATCTCGAGCCGCAACAGCTCTTTTCTTCGTCATGATTACAGTTCTTCATAAAGAAGTTTATCAATCAGGTCAGCCGATAGTTTGCCCAGGTCAACGATACGCAGCAGTCTCGGTTTGAAGCCTACGCTGTATTCTTGCTGATCTTCCATTTAGTTTCTTTCTTGAAATGTCCGCCACCCACTTCCCGAAAAGCAATAACATCGTGCAGTAGTACAGCAGCAAGGCCAGCCGGTCCCAACGCCAACGACGCCAGCTGCAGATGTCATTTCAGATATGATGGCGCTAGTGCTAGTAACAGTCATAGTGGGCCGCAAGGGCAACAAGCGCAGACGCTGTCCCGCACCTGGGCCAGACATCAGACGAAGAAACGCGACGGGGAAGGCGCAAACTACGAGCAACATCGCGAAAATCAGGCAAACACGGTCGACGCATCGCGAATGACAACATGCAGCCGAGCCCCCACAAGGCATCGCCAACGCATCGTAATGTGCGAGTCCACACGCGGCGTAGATACAGGTTTCCCTCTACGTAAAAAAAAAACGGCACCTTCCACTCGGCCGCTTCCTTTTGCTCAATATTACAGGAAGCTAAGGTGTTCTATATAGTTGACGCGACGCACCAGCCCAAGACTCTTTAGACCACGCCCGCGCAGCTATGGCCAACAGTCACCCGCATGAAACTCGCCCATGCCGAAAGAACCGATCGGGAGGCTACGGATCTCTGCAACAACGACACCATGGCTGGTTCGAGAACACTCCGATGGAGAAAAAAAAGACGAAAAGAAAAGAAAGCAAACGGGGCACAGGAACAAGATGCATCACCGGGGCGTCGGCAGATTGACACGTCGTTCTTTCCTCCTTTACTTATCTTAAGATTGGTTGAGAAAATTGAACGAGTTCGTTTGGCGGGGTGGCTGCAGGCTCCTTTCGTCCCATATCTCGCACGGCTCAGTATGCGGCCGTCGAGACAAAAAGAGCAAAGTGGTTGCATTTCCCCCATCACGACAATTCACCTCGTCGGAACGTAGCGTCGTATCAAGTGACCTGGCCAGCCATTTCAGCAGACCAAGTCTCCTGGTCCGTTCTCTCATCCCCTGACTTAGGGCTGAACGGGCTGGCCATGCAGCCCGAACCAGACCCCTGTCGGTTCTTTTTTTTTTTTTTTTTTTTTTTTTTTTTTTTTTTTTTCTTCTCTCGATCACACGCAGTTTTGTCTGATCTCTTCCCCTATTGGCGCTCCGATCGTCAGCCGGGAA